TGTGCATTTATGAACGCAGCCGGAGCCTCCACACCACAATACTTGCCACCTTCACCAGAGCTGCCAGCGTGGTGGGCAACCAGATTTGGTTTCCTTAAATTTATCCAGAATAGGGCAGTTTTGTCTTATTCTACATCACACTCCTGGGACCATTCACTCCTACCCTCCAGAAGGTGGTCTTCCCCCTATTTCAGAAAAGTTTTTTGGTTATGAGTATAAATCAGTGTCATTCAAGCCAGTTGGGTCATGTACAGCTGGCAGACACAACCCACCCCTGCCGAGAGGTTGCAGCTCATCCACAGAGACCTCCGGCACACCCTGCAGATGAATGAGGCCCTGCAGTGTTGAGCCATTAGGAGGAATTCTTCATATTTTTGTTAAAATGCGTCAGTATGTGATGGTGGGAGTCACCCAGATGTGATCCCCTCCGGAGAGGCGTATGGGACCCTTGGCTGATGCAAGAACCAAACAGCGCTCTCAGATTCAGATATCAACACGATGAGACTCTTTCATCTCAGGGCTCTTCAAAGGTAGGAATTCTCCACTTGCAGGTTTCTCCATCTCTTGGGAAGGGACACAGGTACCATCCTGGCTTGCTGTAGGGGCTCAGCTTTGCTACAGCCATTGGGTAAGAAGGTTCACCTCGTTAAAGGCTGCCCTTGCACTCCTCAAGCTGCCTGAAAGGTACCATCTACGGACTCTGAATCATCTGAACGATGGGAGGAAAATGGGAACTCCTGATTCCTGCTCCATGAGATTAAGGGGAAACCCTCCCACGACTCCACGGGGATTGTTGGGTGAGAGCGTGTCCACTTCTCCTGATGGGTAACACAACCTCAGAATTCAGGAGCCCGCTCTGCTCTGCCATGTCATGCGGTTCCCACCATCTTCTGAGAGGAAGAGGTTTCCACGCCAGCGTTTAAGCGCTCCCATGTGAGCCCCTCTGCTGTGAAGCCACTGCTGTGCCTGTTTGGCATTAGAGAAGTTCTCTCGTGTTGGGAGTACGAGCGCTTGATGCTCTTCTGGATTTGTTGTATGAAATGTACTACACGCCAAAGACATCATACATGTGATGTACATCTTTGTGAATTCCCCTAACGTTCTTCTGAGTACTGAGCAGTACCGCTCCGATGGCTGTTCATGAGCACTGAGCAGTACCGCTCCGATGGCTGTTCATTTGACTATAAAACAAAGAGGTTTTAATATTTAGCAGATTATTTAAGGCTCTCACCAGCTGCGACACGAAAACAGTCCTGTTGTAAATTAGGATCTACGCTGGCAAAGATCTTTATTAGCTGGGACACAACAATCTTAGGAGCAGTAGAGAATAGCGTGGTGGACTATGAATACCATGTCCCTTAACGCTCCGTTACTGGAAGAATATCAATAATATCTCTGCCCAAAGCTCTGCTCCTCAAGGGTGTGACCAAGACCGGCCCCGTGGATCCCAAGGGATGGTCCTGCAAAGGGAATGACTGTACAGAAACTCTCAAAATCTTTACAGATTGACTCGAAACGTGGACTTTCCAGAAAGTGGACCAGAAATAGTGGCTCTCTCCTGATACAAACTCCTTACGGCTTGCCATGATTTTCTGACCAACACTGGCCAAGTAGCTTCTAGGCCCCCTGAGGACATTTTTGTGACTGGAGTTGGGCTCTCAGATGCCACTGATTTCCAGCTTTAGCAGCGAAGGGAAATCAGAACTTCCCGATGTGGGCGCTGGTGCCGCTGCTCTTGATGCCAGATCTGGATCAGTGACTTTGCCTGTCACTCACCTTAACCATTCATGTAAATTCATGTTGCCACCACATAACCAACCCACCTCATCAAAGGTTGAGATGACCACCACTTTACATCACTAAGGGCATTCTCTTCCACAGGACTCAGGTGGTGCTCCACATTTTCCCTCATACATGGTCCTGCTGTTTCTGGACTGGTCCGTAGACCTTTGCGAGGTACTAACCAGGCCAAGCTCTTCTCTAACTTCTTTTCCCAGATCCATGCCCGTGGACACAAGGACAGGACTGGTTGAGCACACAGTAGATGGGTTGTCTCTCCTACCTACTGCAGGGTTTTATACACATGCAGAGGGAAGATGCGAGTCTGGAGCCACCAAACCCAGTAGAGGTTCTAAAGGACAGTGGGATGTTTGATAATATTTTTAAAGTTTTTCAGTTGGCCATGTTTTTTCAGCCCACACTCTCACAGACATTCAGCCTGTTATTCAAGTATTTCTGTTATTGGAGCACATGGATGTCCATCAAGTCCTGAAGACATCGGGAAGCCAGTCTATGGTTCAATGAGTTCTTCTGGACTTCAGGCTGGAGATACACCACTATGTCCTTTCCAGAACAGTGCAGATACCAACACAGTGTATGATGTGTAGGGTTGTCATCAGCCACGTGAAGTCCAGCTGGAGGCCAGTGTGGTGTGCCTCAAGTTTTGATACTGGAGCCAGTACTGTCTAACTTCTCCAGCAACGGCCTAGATGATAGGACAGCACAGACCCTCAACAAGTCTACAGACAACACAAAAGTGGGAGGAGTGGTTGATACATCAGATTGTTGTGCTGCCATTCAGAGGGACCTTGAAACACTGGAGAAATGGGCAGAGAGGGACCTCACCAAGTTCAACACAGGGAGCAAAGCCCTGGTCCTGGGAGGGAATAACCTTCTGACTGTCTGGAAAGCAGCTCAACAAAAAAAGATGTTGGGGTCCTGCAGAGAAATTGAACACAAACCAGCAATGTACCCTTCCAGCAAAGAAAGTCAACGGCATCCTGGGCTGTGCTGGGAAGAGCGTTGGCTGCAAATGGAGGGAGATGATCCTTCCCCTCAACTCAGCATTGGTTAGGCTGCATCTGGAGTGTTGAGTCCAGCTCTGGACCACCCAGTATGAGAAAGATTTGGAGCAAGACTGGAGCAAGCCCAAGGAAGAGCCAAAAAGATGTTTAAGGAACCAGTGGATCTGCCTTGCGGGGAGAGGCTGAAGGAGTTGGGACTGTTTAGCTTCAAGAAAAGAAGGCTCAGGTGGACCTTATCAGTGCATACAAATTCCTAACATCAGGAAGTGCAGAAACCAGAGCCAGACCCTTCTCAGTGGTATCCAGTGACGGGACCAGAGGCAGCAGAATGGAAATAGAGGCACAAATGGAAACATAGGAAATTCCCTTTAAACAGAAAGAAAAAAACGTTCTTATGGTGAGGGCACTGAAGCACTAGAACCAGTCGCCCAGAGAGGCTGTGAAGTCTCCATCTTTGGAGATCCTCAGACCCTGACGGGACAAGGTCCTGAGAGGTTTGGAGGGGCTGGACTAGATGATCTCCAGAGGTGCCTGCCCACCTCAGCTATTTCATGATTTCTGGGTGTTTCTCAGCCAAGTGGAGCACCGTATCCTGGGATTTCCAGCTTTCTCAGGTGCTTCAAGCTACTTCAGCCCACCAAACGTAAGGAGGTGAAGTTTCAATTCCTACACCTCAGCAACGTGTCCTTTGGTTGGTCAAAATCTGCCTTCTTGGGTCTCAAATCCTTTTTGGCTCATCCATCACAGACTCCAACAGAATGGGACTGGACAGAACGCCAATGTGTTGATGTTATTTTAGCAGCCAGTTTTGGCTCGCTTATCCTCCTACTGACACGGTGCTCCAGGGAAAGCAGGGAAGTAAATTTGGGCAAATTTCTCTTCTGATCTCATATTTACCCTTCTTCTTTATCCATAATCAATAAGAACATAACGGCGCAGGAAAAACAAGCTGAAATAATGCTGCATTTCCACGCAGATGATTATTCCTAGCAGTGACATTGCACATTAGAAGCTGGAGGACAGGGACGGCCGGCAGTGTCTTGGTTGTTCCCCTTCCTCCAGGAGATTCCCTGAAGATCGCTGCCTCATGCTGCAATCTGGTCCTTTCACTAAGACAGGGAATTCCTGCAAGGTGCCGCAGCAAACCCAGGGATAAACCTTCACGGGCAGCACCAACTAGAGAAGAACCCGGCTCCAACAGAAGATACGCACTTACCACCATCATCTTCTTAAATTGATGTCACAACTTCAATAAAAGGTCATTCAGGAGTCAGCAACATCCCATTTCAGCGCGTGTAGCACTGAAGCATTTTCAGCAATAGCAGTTACCCAGAAATATATATTTCCTTACCAAAAATAAGTCACCAGAATTTCCGATTCACGTATCGAATTTCCAACTCGGGTATCTGACAAATAACATGTAACCCCCTCCCCAACAGTAGGAAACACAGGATTCACCTTCATTAAAGCTTTGTGCATACAGAAAAGCGTGTTCCAAAATGCTGCGGATTTGTTGTGCTGGAGGGAAGACACTGAACATCTGGCTATTTCCGAGAAAAGCAAAAGGGCTCCCTCTGGAGTGGGCTCCGGAATCAGCACAGGATTCGGGATTTCGGAGGCGGGCAGAGAAAATGAACATCAGCAACAAAGCAAATGCGTTCTTGTCTCTGGTTAGTTTACTCATCCTGTTTACAACGAGCACACTGGGACTAATTCAAGGAGACTATATCATGACTGAATGATATGGATCCATGCCCGGAATATTAAGTCATTAATTAGTTTTCATGCATGGACTTGTACATGGCGAGGAGGCAAAGCGAAGGATTCCTGAAGAGACAAGAAAGCTTTCTGAGCATTTAAAATGCGCCAAAGAATTTCCAGCAAAATATATTATGAAGCCAGCTGAGAATCCACATTTTCAAGCCTGCATGATCATGCACAATTCTATAAAAACCTAACGAATGCAGCCACCGGTTGTGTACCCACAGCAATAAACTTAATTTCAAAGGGAGAGGGGAACAGCTTTAAGGACACACACAAAAACATGCGCTACTGGAGACTGACGAGCGCTGCCTTCGAATTTACAAGTGAGAACGACCTCACATTCCCAGGGTTTATTTGCATACAAGCCAATTAACAGAGAATTATAATTTCATGCAGAAAGAAAAGATCACCTACAGACTGAAGTCAACTTACTGCCTGCTTTTGCTCTTCTTCCTACAAACGTTGGCAAAAGAAAAAAGGTGAAGAGAGAAAAGAGGACAGATTAATTATTGTACGACAAGGAAACACACACAAAACACACACAACAGACCCACCGGAGGAACAGAACACGGCAAATTGTAGGAACATCTGCAGAGAGGGAGGGAAACGAGGGCGATGGGGACAAGGGCCGCGGTGCGAAAGCAGAGGTGCCATCTGCTCCCTTCCCAAAAGAAGGCTCTGGTCTAAAATGGCCTTTGGTGTTGGCCAAAGTCATGGGGTAGATGTCACAGCACGGACATCTTGGGACATCCCCTCCTCTGCACAGAACCTTCACTGGCTTCACTTCTCCTACCCTGGACTCCCTCGCTGTCCTCAAGGCAAGGAACATCAAACCACCATCCTCTAAAGACTGGAAAGACCATCTGGAGAGTGCACCCACCACACGGCGTTCGCTTCCCCGTGAGCACGAATCTGCCACCACAGAGACCCCAACTGTCATCCCCTGAGAGGCAAAACATCACCTCCTTGGTGCGAGAGAGCCCATGGCCACCAGGCCTGCAGGGACCTCTGCAGATGGGGCTCCAAAGGGTTAATTAATGAGGGGATGGCAACGGGGTGGGAGCCTGGGGGGCAAGAGCACCACAGATGCTGAGTAAGGACAAAGATGAAGGGAAAAAATGCCCTTTGTTGCAACGGTTTGTCAGTATGGATCTCTGCTAATTGGAAAGACCAAAAAAGGTGAAATACGGATGGGTTTATCCTCTTCTGAAGCAGAGCCTCGTACAGCGCCCTCCTGCCGGGGCAGCGGGGCCACATTCTGCCTTCAGCTCTAGGAGTGTCCCTGGGAATGAGCAAGGTATCATGGAGTCCAGGGTTTCTTTCCCAATTCTGAAGTTTTCATAGATTTTGCCCTCACGTGTACAGCACCCCTTGAGTCCCGTGGGCTGCTCTTGCACGGAACCTCAGTGCAGAGGGCAGCAGGACCACCAATGAGCACGTCTGCCCAGAAATTCAGGTCATGGAGATAAAATTCACAGAATGAAAGCTCCTTCTGGCATTGAAATCCATGGACCCATTTATCCACCTTCCCTCACTTATATCCTGCAGGATTAGAATCATAGAATCATGGAAGCAGATGTGTAACCATCAACCAGAACCTGTCCCTCCATTCAGAGCAGCTCCTTCTCACTGACCGCTGTAGAAGATGTTTTCCTCACCGTGTGCTGAGGGCTCTGCAGAGGTATCTGGGAACGACCGTGGAGAATTCCACATTTCCGAGCACATGCTTTTGGGTTCTTTTTCTCCCAAGATGTGGGGTTCTTCCAGGTGCATATTTTGGCATTGATAAAGCAGAAGGAGACTCAGCATCAGCAGCGCTGCCCTCCCCGCACTCCCAGGTGTTCCCAGTCCTTCCTCCCACTGGCACTGGGACTCACAGGACCAGATGGTGAGAAAAGTCAGGGGAAAGATCTTAAACGATCTCCACTCCACAAAAAAAAAAGTTGTTAGCTTGAAAAACGAGGCTTTAGCATTAATTGCAGATGTGAAAAAGCCCTCTCAGGAGGCGTGGAGCTTTGCTAGAAGGACCGAGCAGTTATTAGATAAATCATCACATCAGCCAGTGAGGAAATTACCGTTGAGGAAATGGAAACAGTGAAATGGGATATGTCTGCTGAGTATCCGTGTAGCTGGAAGCAAAAGCCCTGCAAGAAGGCAGCCGATCAACGCTGAGGACTACTTATGAGAGAGAGCTAAAGGCCCGAGGTGTGTCTCAGAAGACTTTGGGGAAAAAGGGAAACATCAGAGCAGGACACTAATCACAGGGGTTGGATCACCTCCCAGTTGAGAGCCCTTCTGTGCTCCAAGGCCAACTGTCACAGCATGGGAAGATGGGATGAACCTCCCAAGAACATCCATGTCCTTCCAGATGCTGCCTTCCCTCTCTCTCCTCTTTTTACCCAGGGAGCGGAGGCACCAAACTTTCCAGATAACCAAAGTGAGGTAAAGCTGAATCCAGCTCTAAATGGTGAAGGCAGCATTAAAAATGTAAAAAATACCACATAAGAAAATGGAAAAAACCATAAAAGCTTAACAGCTGATGTAAATTATAAATGAAAATTTTTGAAGTGCACCAAATGACGAGAGGAGCTAAAACGTTGCGGGACAAATTGGTGTCTGGCAGGGCTAAAAACCACCAAACGGAGACTTTGAAATGAAGACAAACATCAAAAACAAAACAAAGCCTTGGGGTGACGTATGCTGCCTCGTGAAGGTCACGGTGAAATTCTTACTGTGGGAAGAGGAATTAGTATTTCTGTTCTGTGTTTGACTAATAGTACTTTCCCCTGGTAGTTTCTACCAGCAAACAGTGAAGGACTTTCCACTAATAACGAGAAAAGGTGTTAAAAAGTATTTACTAGAAATAATATTTTTAGAGCAGCAGGTCTGGGCAGCCTGCAGCTGGGATTCTGAAAACAATCCCGTGAGGAGTTATCTGCTCCGGTGACGGCAATTTCTATCAGATCTCGGAACACCCAGGGCTGGAAGGTGCTGTGTTGTGCTGATATTCAAAAAGAGAAGTAAAACAACTTAAATGAGCATAAACATCCTACCCTGCCATTAGTTTATGCAAAGGAAGAGAAATGTGGATAGGAGACTCAACCAAGAAGTGATACACGGAGCGTTATGACTTCATGGAAAAGAGGTCTCGCCAAACAGATCTGATTTTGCCATTTGAATGCATCACACGTTTGGCTTCCAAAGGAACTGAGCAGATGTAATGTATTTTCATATTTGCAGTTCCTTTAGAGGCCAAACTTGTAACACGTTGTTGTTAACCAGTTAGTGCTGCAAAAAACAAATAAGGCCCCTGACACAGGGCAGGATCTGGGTAACTGAGACCTTTCAAAGAGCACTCACTGGTGCAGAAAGGCAGAAACAGCGACGAAGAGCAACGAAACCCCTCCCGTGGCTCTCTGCAGAGCGCTGATTCACAGAAGTATTCAACGTAGTTTTGGTTTTTTCCCAACTAAAGAAATGATATTAAAAACCTGGAGAAGGCAAAGAAATTAAGCGTGACGAGGGCTGCAGCACAGCGAGCGCTGTGGGAAGCGCGGAGCAGCTCTACCTGTTTCACTCCTTTAAGAGAGAAGATTGAGAAGCGCCTTCGCTGAGATGAGTAAGTATCTGCGTAGGAAAAAACCAGGGGTGCTAAAGTATTCCTTAATTTAATGGAGGGAGAACCGCATGTACCGGAGCCAATGGGTGTAAACTGAAGCTAAATACATTAAAACTGAAAATGAGGCATAAATTTTTAACTGTGGAAGCAAATTGACATTGGCAGTGAATTCTCCATTTTCGATTTCCTCAGCCCCAGAACAGATGTCTCTCTGGAAGAAGCTTTAATCAAGAAGCAGCTGCCAGGCTCCATGGAAAGCAGGGAAGGGGAAAGGCAAGGAACCGTGGGGAAACCAAAGAACTGCAGTCCCAGGCTCGGGGGCAGGTCGGGTTGGAGGGGACCTTGGGTGGCCCCAGGACCAGCCTCCTGCTCAGCCCAGGTTGCTCAGAGCCTCCAAAGATGGAGAAGGAACAGCCTCCCCGGGCCCCCGCTCCACTGCTGGAGCATCCTCATGAGGAAGAACCTTCTCCTTGTATCCAGCCTTATTTGCCCATGTAGTTTTTAAACAAATTTGGGAACCAAGGGAGTTAACAAAAAGATACTAGAGTCATATGGCAGGGGATTGGAACTAGATGATCTTTAAGGTCCCTTCCAACCCAAACCATTCTGTGATTCTATGATTCTATAAATGAAAAGTCTAGTAAGAGCCAGCTCCTAAATGAACCTTCTGTATAACACAGCCCAGAAGACGTCATTACGGTTCTGTCAAGCTCATAACTGAACTGTGTGACTCAACCTGGCGAGTGGGTCCTAAAAACATCAGTTTATCGCATGTGAGTCAGCTACGGCTCCCTTCCCTGTTCCAAAATCCTCTCTCCTCCCTCCCATGTCTTCCCAGTTGCAGCATCTGCCATTCATGCTCGTGTTCTCTTCCCTCTGCAGCACCCTCCACAATCTCCTCATCGAGCTGTTACTGACACCAATGTCTTCTGCTGCTCCACACAATGGTCCATGTGTCCAGCCAGCCAGGTGGGAGGGACCAAATACTGTTTGGGCAGTTGGGAGAGGAGAGTGCGATGGCCAAGGAGGCAGTTGAGGGGACCAAGCTCCGCAGGTCACTCTGGTGCAGGAGCAGGACATCTGAGAAGGGTAGTCCACCTGGCCTTCATGGCATCCCAGGTGGAAGAAGGGAAAGCCAAGCCAGCCGACAGAACAGCCCTTCACCCAAACAAGATGATGGCACTTACAGCAGGTGATTGGAAGAACTCATTTGTGAAGGTTTATGAGAGCTTTGGAATGAACAGGGTCTCCAGGAAACTCCCATTAGAGCTTGTCTCTGGCTCAGAGCAGATGTCCAAACTCGTTCTGGTCCTCAAATGTGTGCAAGAAAAATGCTCAGGCCACGGTCACCTGAACCACAAACTGTTTCTGATGCAACAACTTTTTATACTTTCCTAAATCTGTAATTTACTTTTGGATGCCCGTTTTCAGCGATATCACACTTCAACTTACAAAGATTTTGGGTCTGCTGAAATCACGGTGAATTCAGCAAGCAAGACAGACATTAACAGGAAAAAGAATCACAGTGTGCAGAACCACTGACTTAAAAAAAACAACTTCCCAAACATAAATACTAAGGATGTGCTTGTCTGCACAGGGAAACTGAATCAAGCCGCCCCTCTGTGTGCATTGACCATGGCCTTTTGCATCCACATCCTCTTCCAGAAGAGTCCTACTCTTCAAGTGAGACCAATATTTTGCCGTTCACTTTCTAGAGAGGCTTTTGTCCAATTCAGAGAAGGGAAAGAATAAAGGCACAACAGTATTTCAGACACAGTCATCTGCCGTGAGCTCAACTCTAGCAGGACTCTACAAAAAATAACAACGGACCCTCATCAGAAATCCAACCATCAGCTTCTGGTACAGCCCAGAGCCAATGCCGTCACTCTCCAAAGCACCAAACCTCCCCGGAGGCTGCAGGGACAGTGTTGTGTCCCCTGGGGACACGCAGCACCACGGCCCCGGGCAGTGATTACAGTTCCCACTTTATTCTCCAGTTCAAGTAGGGAAAATTGAGTTACTACCCGGAGCAGCCCGCAGCTCATCACAAACCCAGCACTCCTTTACAGCCTGCCAAATCTTATGGTTCTTGGTATTTCAACCCAAGCAGCAGCAGAGGAACCTGAAAGCCCGTCACCCACCCGCAGCGACGCGCAGAGCCAGCACAGGAATGGCTTTTTGCAAATTCCTTCTGTTCCTCCTGAAGAATTGACAAGGGCAGGGCTCAAAGCGGGGCTCTGGGGGCAGAGGGAGGGAATTCCCGACCTGGGGAAGGGGAGGACACGCCGTGTTTCCCACAGGAGATGCCTCACCTTGAGCAGCTTCATCAGCCCTTCCAGCTGCACCATCAGCTCCCTCCGGCTCTCCTGCAGCGCAGACATCCTCTGCTCCAGCTCATCCTTCCTCTGCCTGCTCCAGGGGCACGGAAGAAAGAGTCAGAAAATAACACTTTGGGGTATTTCAAAGCCACTTCAGGAAATCCATCCAGATATAACCGTGTCTTTGGTGTCCATCACTCCCCCCCGCTTCCAATTTCAAAAAAAATAGAGCAAAGCACAGGACAATGACCATGAAAGCTCAATATAACAACCAGGCTTTTCACTAAAAATCCAGAAATCTGCACTCAGTAGTAGGAAGCCCTTTTAGAGAGCACTGCTTTTCGAGCAAAAAAGGCTGCTTTTTTCTTCCTTTTAAGAACTCTCTTCGTGTCAGACCCAGGCGTCCCGCAGAGCTCTCAGACAGGCAGGAATGAGCTACGGGAGGGGAAAAAATAGAGAAAAGGCTGGAGGTGTGTGGAAGGAGCAGCCATCACCTCTCTGGACGGAGCCTCGGCACAGCCATTTCTGTCCCAAAAGTGACAGACCATCTTGGACATATTCCCTCTGCCAGAACCCAGGTCACAGGAACGGGAGATAATTGACCTCCCCTTTCCCTGGCATCAGAAAACCACTGTACTTCTGCAGATGCCTACTTAAAAGACATGACTGTTTGGGGTTTTTTTTATATTAAAAAAAAAAAAAGAAGCAACCAATACAAAAAGAAATTCAATGATGAACGTCAGCGTGTCAGAAGTCCAGTATCTCATATGATTTAAGAAATGCTGGGCCCCGCTTTAAGAAAAAAACCTAAAAGGCATAAAACAAAGAGGGTGATGGCCCCCAGCACCAAATCTGCCCGAGTTTTGGGGGTTTCTTTTACCGTAGCAGCCGGAGCTCAGCCAGTAAGGTGGGGTTCTGCTGGGCTTTCTCGGGGGTGGGCTGAGAGGCTTGCTCATGTTCCAGCCTGAGGCGCTGGATTTCTTGCAGGATCTCTCTGTAGAAAAAACAGAGGGAGGATTAAAGAGGAAAAAGCTCAGCCCTGGCTTAAATGCCCTTCTAGTGCTCTTTTTTGGCCTAAATGCAGCAATTCCATTGGAGTGGGACCAGCACAGACCCAGACCCATGACATGGAATTCAATGCAGTCCTGGAAATTGCTGTAATGCACACAGAAAATGTATTACTCGATAATAAAAAGTATGAAATCACCCAAGTGCCATATGCTGGTGATGTTTCTCCAAAACCTGCCGTGTGGAATGGGCTGGGGGACTGCTCCAAGAGGGAAAAAGCCCCATTTCCAGCAGAATGGGTACGGGATGTGCTGCGGGAAGGGCTCAGATGCAGCACCGTTGGCACCCCCAGCCAGTTCCTGTCCCCCTGCCCCGACCAGGGCTCCCGGCAGGACCAGGGGGAAGAGCAGCTCATAGTCCTCGAGGTCTCACCAAGGGAAGGGAGTCAGCCAGGTTTGGGTAGCTGGAGGTGAGGGAAGGCAGCGCCCACAGCCAAGGAGCCGCTTATTAAAATGGAAATGAAAACCTCCTGAGGGCGAAGATTATAATCTCTAATTTCTATCTCTAACCCTCTGCTGCTCTTCTCCAAAACTGCTGAGCTGCTCCCTTTGCAGGGTTCTGTCCCAGCACTGATTGAGATCTCCCTGTGATCTCCAGGAATGATTTCAAGCACCCGCAAGGTCCCTCAGCAGCGAAGTGAAGGCTGCCAGGACGGAGCTGCTCTCCAGGAACTGGTTCTCCTCCAAACCCATTCCAAGCAGGGTTGGTACCTGCTCTGCTGAGGGCACCTTGGCCGGGGCCGTACAGGCAGCGAGCTCAGACACGCTGTGAGTGTGGCTCCCAGGAGAGCACATCACCAGGCTACCGGGGAGGCTCTGTGGGCAACCCACAGCCCACTGGTGCCGTACGGCTGGGGCCAGAGAAACACCAACTCGAGACGTGGGCGCTGAGAAGCGGTAAGTGCAAATGTAACACCGTGATAAAAACAGCTCCATCTCTCAACAGTCCCTCTGCAGCAAGAAAAATCATTGAATCACAGAGTGGTTTGGGTGGGAAAGGACCTCAAAGCCCCGATCTCTCAACAGTCCCTCCACAGCAAGAAAATCATTGAATCACAGAGTGGTTTGGGCGGGAAGGGACCTCAAACCCCCCCAGTGCCACCCCCTGCCCTGGGCAGGGAGACCTCCCACCACACCAGGTTGCTCCAAGCCCCCTCCAACCTGCCCTTCAACCCCTCCAGGGATGGGGCAGCCACAGCTTCTCGGGGCAACCTGGGCCAGGCTCTCACCACCCTCAGTTTGAACAATTTCTCCCCAATATCCCGCCTAAATCTCCCCTCTTTCAGTGTCCAACCCTTCCCCCTCCTCCTAGGGCTCCCCTCCCTCAGCCAGAGTCCCTCCCCAGCTTTCCTGGAGCCCCCCTTCTTTAGGGACTGGAAGGGGCTCCAAGGTCTCCCCGGAGCCTTCTCTTCTCCAGGCTGACCCCCCCCAGCTCTCTCAGCCCCCCCTCCCAGCAGAGGGGCTCCAGCCCTCCCAGCACAGGTTGCCAGCCCATGGCCAGAAGAAGGAAACCATCTCCTACAGCCCATCTCCTATTTCTTCCAGCCCTCCTGGTTTCTTCAGACAGTTTTGTTTTCCAGCAAAAACAACCCTCATTCTTCTCAAGCTGAATTTACCGACCCCCTCCAGCTCTCCAACCTGCCTGCTCCACTGCTTCTCAGCTGATTTATTTCCCTGCTGTGAGAAGTTTGCTGGGGCTGCAGGGAGCGAGGCAGCTCCCGGGGCTCAGCGCCAGCAGAGATGATGTTAAGAAGATCAGAGGAGAAGATCAACCCTCTCCCCGGGGAAGGAGGGCACCGCACCCGCACCCAGCTCCCTGGGTAGGGAGCCAGCTACACCTCCCCACAAAAGATGTAGGAAAACAACCTGGTTAATAGAATACAAAAGGTTAAAAACAACACAGCGCAAAGACTAAAGGTTCTTCTCCCCTCAAATGTTGTTCCGAAAACAATAGTGATCAAAGCTGGCTTTTTACCTGTTTTTGTTTTCCAGCTCCGCTATCAGCTGCCTTTGTTGTTTATTGGCGTCAAAGCTGAACCCCAGGTCTGTTGGTGGGCGAGGCTGGTGGGTGAGGAACAGAGAAAAATTAGGCAAAATATTCATTACCCGTTACCGCAGATGATGGGTTTGGATCCAGCCCCATATTTCCCGGGTGCGACACCTACAGCCCGGGCTGAAAAACCCTGAAAACGGCTGTGCTGAGACAGGGGCACACTGAGACCTGGTTTTACAGCTGGATCTCAGGGTGGTCCTCACTCTGCAGAATTTTATTGGCCTTTTTCTTTTTTTTTTTTAAGACCTTCAGAACCCCCCTTCTGTACCTGTCTGTTCCCAACACACCGACAGCCCTCCCTGGGAAGAGACGCAGTTATACCTTTGTCATGGAGCCTTTTAGTGAACCCCCAACCTCCCCCCACACCAGCTGCTGAAGAAAAGTTAGAACAACTTAGAGTTTATGAAGAGGATTATTCACAGATATTAAATTTAAGCATGGTCACCGCCGCGGGGAAATCTAATTCTTCTCAACCCCTCAAAAGCATCAACTGAAATAAGGTCGCTGAATAAATGCATTTTCCTGGTGAGTCCTGACCTTTGTGGCCCCTGTGTCGGGCACACCTTTCACCAGCAGCCATCACCCTGCTGGGAAAAGGACCAAGAACCTGCAGTTCCTGGAGAACCTCCTGGCAGCCAGGCTGGATGGTGAAGAAGCCAAATAGATGGACCAAAGAGAGAGAGAGAGAGAAGAATTACAGGGTCTGGACCAGCACTTCACCTGCCCATCACTGTGGTATCACAGTCACCTTTGTGATCCACAGACAAAGAAGAAGAGGAAACAAGCAACACAAATAGTTCCTGTAACTGGTATATCCAGGAGAAGAAGAAACTCCCCAAGAACCCAGCTGCAGATACATCCTGCAACGATGTACAACAGGAAATCTGGTTTACTTGTTCTTTCTTTATTTAAAAATATAGCTATTAAATAATGCCTAATGCCTAAAAGAAAAGTTACATGAAGGGAACATTACAAATATTATTTAGGTTGTAGGTAAAGTAGCTTTAATTAGATGAAATGATGATAGGTTTTAGCAGTGCTTAACGTTAAGGGAAGAAGAGCAACCACACACTGTTTTCAAAAAAGAGCAACGTGGGCAAGAACCTAATTATTGTAACTCATCCACATAACTCAACCTAATTATCCACTCATCCATAATCGAGTTTTATCTTGTATTTATTAGGTGCTCGTGCTTTTCCTGGCAGCAAGGCTGCACCGGTCAGCAGAGTCCTGCCAAGAGCCCACTGTCCCAGAGGACCTCTGCTGCCCACTGTGATGGGTCGCTCTTCATCGGGAAGCAGCAGGAACATCTGGGGCTCACAGGCCAGATATCAACCCGTGTTTGGGCAAATCAACCTGCCCGGGTCTGTCAGCAGGAATCTGGGGGGATGTGGGGGTGTGCCAACAGCAGAAAATGGGGGAAAAAAGAGGTGAGGTAGAGCAGGTGGGAGAGGAGATGATGGAGGAATTGGGTTGGAGAAAGGGAGATGAGTGTGTGGGATGCTGGTAACAGAGGGCCTAGGGCTGCTCTCTATATAGGGCTGTACATACATATAGTCACCTAAAATAAACGTCATCCCCCTTCTCGTAAAAGCACGTGGTCCCTTACCCACAGAACCACCTCTACTCAAGTAACGGGGCAGCGCTGAGGGGGGATCCGCTACGTACACACAGGGAGTTTGTGAGGGACAGGGGGACAGGGCTCTGGGGACACGGGAGATCACTTTCAGCCCCCACTTTTATCAAAAAGAGGGTGCTTGATAGGAAATACCAGATGATTTTTTTTTACCTCGGACCGATCATCTGAACAGATCAGCAGAGGGAGACAGACAGATGAAGCTGCGAAGTTCCAAGCTGTGATTTACACCAAGCTTTCCCTTCATTTCTTCTCGTTATTCATCTAGTCACCTTCTCCCTCGTTTGCTCTCTCGTTAACCGGGTTGGGGGCCCAGCCAACAGCTACTCCAGTGCCCAGCACTCCCCTGCCACCAAACCGTGGGGCCAAGCACAGCCCTGAGAGACACAAACTGAGTAAAAGGCGTTTTGTCTCCTGGAAGCAAAAGAGAGCAGCCCATGTTCCCCAGCACCATGGCAACCCATCTTTTGAACACCTCCAGTGATGGTGCCTCAACCACTTCCCTGGGCAGCCCATTCCAATGCTTGATAACCCTTTCCGTGTAAAAATTTTTCCTACTATCCAACCTGAACCTCCTCTGGCACAACTGGAGGCCGTTTCCTCTAGTCCTGTCACCTGTGACTTGGGAGAATGATTCTATGATTCTATGAAACTGGCTTAGATTTCAAGAATTAACTCTGAGAACTGCCTCAAGTTATTCAGTCCCAGTCAGACTCCCAGGGCAGGTGTTTCCCCCAGGAATGTCAATGGGATGTCTTTGGGTTGGTGGCGAGTGGCAGCCACAAGCCTGCAGAAGGCAGCCCTAGCGCTTTATCTGTTTGAGAAAAATCAGAAACTGATGGGTCGAATCAGACCCTTTGCCACAGAACCCAACGTACAGCTTCCAGCAGCGACCACTGCCAACTGCTTCAAAGACACTTAGGAGGAGGTGAGAGCCCACCTCGCTGGAAAGGACTCGGCAGGATTTATATGACAAATGGGAAATGAAAGGGTGCACAGGAGGAGGCGAGAGCCCACCTCGCTGGAAAGGACTCAGCGAGATTTATATGACAAATGGGAAATGAAAGGGTGACCGAGGACACTGACGTTAAGATGCTTCTCCAGCCACGGTGACACGTCACAGAAGAGAATTACAGAGTCATGGAACGGGTCAGCGGTGGGTTTGTCAGTGCTGGGTTGATGGTTGGACTCCACGGAAAGGTCCCTTCCAACCCAGACAATTCTATGATTCCATGATTCTGTGACTCCCTGGTTCTAAGCCGAGCTGCTCCTGGGCAGATCCTGGGTGGAAAGGCTGGGAAAGGGCAGGTGAGATTCCCGGGAAGCACCGGGGAGCATCGCTCCGGCAAACGCTGCCCTGCGGAGAGGGGCACCTCCCTCCCAGCTGGAACACAATTATTCTATGGAACTGCAGCACATTCTTAATTGCCATGATCTCCTGCAGCTTTTCTGTTAAAGCAGTGTTTATTTTTACCAATTTAGAATTGGTTGGGTGCTTCCTTTAGTCCCTTTTGTTATAAAAAACTGGAAACGTAACGAATACCTTCCTTTCTCTCTCTCAGGCTCCTTCCCTCTTGAATAAACATATTCCGTAACGTTTGGTCCGTGATTTGTTTTCCTTGGGTATCTACGTATTTATCTCTTCTCTAGACTAAGCAGGACTAATCTGCTTATTCTCTCCTCTCCTCTGACCTCATTTCTCATAATTTGTGTTGTCGTTTCCCCGGCTCTTCCCCCGCCGCCGGAGAAGGCAGCCTTTCTGCTGGAAACGAGGAGGAGGAGGAGGGTCCTGCTCTCTGGCATCAGCCCCGTAAACAACAACAACAACAAAAAAAATGACAATTTCAGGCAGCTGTTGTCGTTAAGCTGCTAATTAGGCTGTGAGTAAGGAGAGGTGAAGGAGGACTTACGGCGTTCCCAGCTTCGGCGGCCAGGCGGGCGGCGTACCGGGCGATCAGCCGGTGCTCCTCGTCCAGGCGGCCGGGGCTGTCCAGGACACTGCGGGGAGAAGCCACAAGAGCCCGTCAGACCCCACTGTCCCCAGGCATCCCCCCGCCCAGAGGGACAAGGGACAGGGTGTGTGACTGCAGAGACGGCCGGGAAATAGGAGAGGTTCAGTGGAAACGATGCAGAGCATCCCCCTTCCCATCCCGCTCCTGAGGGGACGCTGCTCTCGCGGCTCTGCCCAGCGGCACTTCCCCCGGGAGCCACAAACTCCCCTCTTAAATGATTAAAATAATCTGTTTTCCACTATTCCCATACACGTATCATTGGGAAAAAATTAATATGTTTCGAGGAGTTTTTCTGGAAGTGTTTTCGGCTCACTCGAGGTAAATTCAAGAGGGGTGAAAATGTTGAATATATGTTGGGTATGTTGAAAAGCCTTCTCCTCCGGAGATGGAGGATGACCAGTGTCAAAGCCAGGATGGCTTCCAGGAGGAAGAGCAGGAGGAGCCGTGCTGACCTGAGAGGAACGGGCTCTGTCACTGAATGGTGTGGGTGACAACACAAAGATCTCTTTGTAAGGCAGCTGCCACCCCCCAGCCCCAGGGGACATGGCAACGTGAGCCCTGGACCCACGGGCAGAGGGTGTCACAGCTCTGGTCACCTCCATGGCCCCACACAGGCTGTGGCCATCTCAAAACGCTGCGGAAAGAGGCACTGCAAAAAATTGCCAATGATTATCAGCAACAGGAACAGCACCGCGAAGTGACAGAAGCAAGAGACATTGAATATTGAAACAGGCAAAGCAGAGGCAGCAGAAGTAGGAGATGCCCCGGATTGGGAAGGGAAAGGCAGCCCTGGGTCCTCCTCCCGTGGAACACCAGCATCCTCCTCTGTGCTTCGGTGGTAATGGGGCTCACCCAGCCTGGCACCCCGCGGGCACCCCGAGTGCTGAACCACCCTCCAGCCTCCACAAATAATCGCCTTTTTAACTCTAAACACACGGGGGGACAAACGAGAACTTTCAAGTTGTGTTGACCGAAACCAGCCGACACTAAGGTCCGTGGCCAGCTCGCTTTCAGTGGTGGAGTGGCCTGGCCACAGAGAGTCAGTGGGTGGCAACCAAATGAATGAGCAACTCATTAAGTCAACACCCAAACGCACTACTCAATGGCCGCTTCTTGCCCTACGGCCGCACGGCGGTGTCTCACCACGGCCTCCCTGTGAAAGGGAAGCCACCAAGCTAGTGATAAAACCCAAAGCACTATTGACCCAAACCAGCAGTGTCTCACCACCCTTCCGAGGCTGGCCATGATGGGGCTCCGGGGCTTCACAAGCACCACGTTGGCAGCCACAGATCACACAGCGCCAGGTGGGTACGTGCTCGTGGGGCCAGGCAGGGTGGGGATCACACCCCAGACCACAGCACAGAGACACAACCCACTGCCCAGGCAAAGGCTGCTCTTGGTCCACGCTGCCACTGCACAAGGTGATTTACAGCTCCTTGAGCTTAATTTCACAGGTTTATGTTTAGCTTCTTCAAAGAACCAAGGTCTGTATCGCACACGTTATGCTTATTTAAAAATGTAGACTTAATTTCTTTTTTGTAACGCTGAATTTACTAACTCGATCTCTTTCGAGACTCTGAAGGTCTGGCAGAGGATGTGTCTGGGATGGCTGAGAGACACTGGGCTGAATTTACCAGCCACATGGCTCCAGTTTGCACAGATGGGGCTACCATGAGCATGGACCGCGCTCCCGTGGCTCCACGCTTGGGCTGCTGGACAATAACCTGAAGGTGTTCAGCTCCACGGGGCAAAGGAAGGACCGGGCGAAAGGTGAGATAAAACAGTGGGAAAGCAGATTTAAGAGCAGAAAAAACAGAGTATTTACACCAGGGTGGAAGAACTTCTCACCCCCCTTCACGCTAACTCATTTCCTTACTGTTATTTTTGAAGGAGAACAATCTTTCCCATCCATTTCTCAAATCTGATACTGTTTTTGTTCAGTTTCCTCTGCTATTTTGTCTGTTCAAGTATTTTTCTGCTTTCAAAGAAAACAGACCAATTCCATCCCTCCTATCCTTCCTATAATCTGCTCTCTCCTAAAGCCTCTCTCAGCTCCCAGAACTGTTATCTTCTCTTATCTGCGTGAACTAGGAAACAGGTATTGACAATTTCTCACTCTCTTGAAGAAAACCTGTAATTTAAAGAAAAATAAAAAAAACCTGTTGTGTTTGTTTTTAGAAGTATTTTACATAGGGAGAGGAAGTGGAGTTCAAGCACATCTCCTGACCCTCCTGCGGATTCTTTTAACGTAAACCAGTTTGAACAGAGGAACCACTGCCACAGCCCACAGCTCTGGGGGCCAAGGGAGAGGCCTCAGCCTGCAGAACCCCCCACAGCTCTCCACGAAGGAAAACTCACTGCTTTGTAGTTTTAATTTCTGTGGAGGCACTGCATGCATCCCTAGCCTGCAACCCCTCTCAATGGGAGTGGAGCTCCCCGTCCTTCCCCGTGACCCTTCCTCTGGCCCAGGGAGTCCCACCGGTGCCCAGCACAGGAGCCACCACACAAACTGAAGGACAAGAACTGGAGAAGAACAGAAAAGGCAGCAAAGGGGAGGAATCAGCCTGGCTTCAGCCCAGAGCTCAGGAGGCAGCAGGGAACGGGAATGAGAGGTCAGAGATTTCCACAGCAGCAGGATTTTGGAAAGGTAATAGTAGACATTTCTTAAAACCACCACGTTGGGGTGTTGGGTCTATTCTCACCAAACATGTTTAAGCAACTGACGTCATCTACCTGGACTTGTGTGAGGCATTCGACACTGTCCCACACAACATCCTGGCCTCTGCACTGGAGAGACATGGAGTTGATGGATGGGCCACTAGCTCCATGTCTAGATGGGGACAGGGAGGAGCAGAGTTCCTCAGGGGTGGGTACTGGGACCAGTGCTGCTTAACATCTTTGTTGGTGACACAGACAGTGGGATTGAGGACACCCTCAGTGCGTGTGCTGATGACACCAAGCTGTGGAGCAGTGACAGGCCTGAGGGACGGGATGCCATACAGAGGGACCTGGACAAGCTGGAGAAGCCTGGGGGGTTCAGCCTGGAGAAGAGAAGGCTCCGGGGAGACCTTGGAGCCCCTGCCAGTCCCTCAAGAAGGGGGGCTCCAGGAAAGCTGGGGAGGGACTCTGGAGGAGGGAGGGGAGCCCTAGGAGGAGGGGGAAGGGTTGGACACTGCAAGAGGGGAGATGGAGCTGAGCTGTGGGGAAGAACTTGTTTGGTGGGAGGGTGGTGAGAGCCTGGCCCAGGTTGGCCAGAGAAGCTGTGGCTGCCCCATCCCTGGAGGGGTTCAAGGGCAGGTTGGAGGGGGCTTGGAGCAACCTGGTGTGGTGGGAGGTGTCCCTGCCCAGGGCAGGGGTTGGCCCTGGGGGGGGCTTTGAGGTCCTTTCCCACCCAAACCATTCTGTGATTCTATGAATAGGACAGGACAGAAAATTTCAGTTGGAAGGAACCTACAACAAGATCTAAAGACGTGACAACGGAGCAGACATTTCCTCGGCCTCTCGTGCTGACTTGGAAGACAGCAGAGCAAAACTGGGATTTAAATTATTCTCCTCGCATTTGGCTCCATCTGGGAGTTACCAGAAGCACACCGTTACTCTGGTAACGGCACCAAGTGATTTTTTAAAATTTAAAGACCTAAAAGAGTGAGAACCTCTCCCCCAGCCAGTCATAACGTGGCAGCTATGAGCTACACACGGTGTTTCAGTGTCATACCCTCCTCCAGCTGCACTCCTTTCTGCCTCCAAACCCTGCGATTACAGTCATTGAGTGAAGGTCAGAGTCGGAAATTCCTTGGGTTTTATTGTCTGATGGACAATATTATGGGCTTTCAGTTCACACCGGGTGACAGCAGGCAACGGTGATTCACTGCCAAGAACAAACCTGACTTTCCCCAGCGATCCAGCCAGCCGGAACGCACCTCATCCAGCAGCAGTGGAATACAAATTCCTACGTGACAGAGGGATGAAACAGGACTCTAAAAATATTATCCAGAGGATGACACATGGATAGAGCGAGGACTTTACGTATAGCCTCTGGATCACTAAACCTCCTCCTCCTTCCCAGCACAGCTCTGGCTCTGTAAGGGCATAATTTAATTAGGTCCAAAAGCAGAATTCAGAAAACCTCCTGGCTGCATCCTGTGGTGAAACGGGAGAGCTGCGTTTGGGGGCTTTAGGGGAAAACTTCTCCACAGACACAGACGTGAAATATAAATGAGCACGAATACTGAAGCTGAGATAAAAGAAATTAATTCTTCAAAGGATAAGCGTTGTTCGGAAAGGCACAGGCAGAAACAGTCCTATTAAGGAGGTTGTGTTGAAGGGACTGAGAGGTTGCCCAGGTTTAGCCCAGGTGACAAAGGTGTGACAGGAGGGGACATGTGTCTGTGACTGCTTCTGGGGTGGGGAGGTAAAAGCACTGAGGAGAAAGAAGAACAGTTGGAGTTACAGGACAATGAGGCACAAGATGGCTGGGGGAAAAATTCAGGTGGAATTTAGCACAGGACAATGTTGGCAGAAGAGGCACGAGCTGGCTGGGGGAAAAATTCAGGTGGAATTTAGCTTCCTACCGGTGAAAAGATGAGAATGGGCACAGAGAGAAAAATTATCATCTGACTCGTTTGGGACAATGTTAATTGGATCACGTGAGGGATTCTGTAACATGGTGGCTGCAACAGGGTGGGAATGGACACAAATCCATCCCTTCCTACCTGGTGTGTGTGTGTGTGTGTATGTATTTGTGCATTTTCAGAAGATTTTGGAAAATAGTGATGCATTTTCCTCTCTTTGCCAGCAGAGGCTAAATCACAGAATGGTTGGGGTTGGAAGGGACCTCTGGGGAGATCATCTCCTCCAACCCCCTGCCAGAGCAGGTCCACCCAGAGCAGGTCCCACAGGAATGTGTCCAGGTGGGTTTTGAATACCTCCAGAGAAGGAGACTCCACCACCTCTCTGGGCAGCCTCTTCCAGGGCTCTGCCACCCTCAAAGCGAGGAAGTTCCTCCTCATGTTGAGATGAAACTACCTACGCTCAAGTTTGTGCCTGTTTCCTCTTGTCCTGTCCCTGGGCACCTCTGGAAAAAGACTGGCCCCATCCTCCTGACACCCACCCTTGAAGTATTTATAGGTGTTGATCAGATCCCCCCTCAGCCTTCTCTTCTCCAACGAGACCCAAGTCCCTCAACCTTTCCTCATCAGAGAGATGTTCCAGTCCCCTCTCCATCCACCATCCTCGCAGCCTCCGCTCTACTCTCTCCACCAGTTCCCTGTCCTTCGTGATCCAGGGGGCCCAGAACTGGTCCCAGTGCTCCAAATACCTTTGGCTGGAAGGTCCCTCCCCAGGGAAGGTCTCCTGTGGGGCAGGTCCCCTAACACTAACCGTGGGCCGCTCTGCAGCCGGCTCACCAGGGCTGCGATCAGGGCGTGCTCGTCCGCTAGCCGGCCGGCGGCATCCGGGGGGCACGGCGACCTGCCAGCCACGGGGGGAAGAGAGAGCAAACAGAACAACGGGGTGAATACAGAGCACACGATCCATGGGCACTAAGGAAACAAAGGGTTAAAAAAAAAATAAATAAATTAAATCAAAACAAACAGACGAACAATTGAAAAACATAAATATGTTCCCGCAAGTCGTGTGAAAAGCATACCCTCTGCGGTTAAAAGTTTAAAACACAGATTGGAGGGACAATTGGGGGTCTAAACGGGCGATGGCCACAGCGGTGGGGTGTCCCTGAGCCCACCATCACACCGGGACAGACCCCAGCCCGGCTCTGGTGTCCCCAGCAGGATCAGCGTCCTCAGGGAGCTCACTGGGACCGCAGCCCCCCACCCGAGCAGAACTTACCCTTCTGCCTCCAAACAGCCCCAAACCCACCCCAAACCACACCGGGTTGCAGTTTTATCGCTGTGTCTAAAATCAGAACCGAAAGTGTCCGGTCTCTCTCATAGTAATAAGTGAAAACACCAGAAAAGTGATAAAAACTTAAAATATTGGTGGTTGCTATCAGCAGAAGTACCTCCCAACAGGGATTCATTACATGAAAGATGATGTATTTTTTGTGTGTTCTCAGGACTCATAAAAATAAAGCCACTCCAGTTTTGAATATTTCTATGAACAGAGATTGAACACAACAAATATTTGTCAGCAGTAACCCCCCAGAAATGGCTCCTTGTCTACACGGCCTGATGAAAACCCACTGGTTTCTACCAGCCTTGTGACAGCAGCGTCTCGGAAACCCTGAGAGGATACGGGAAGAGGGCTCTTTTCCTGACCCCGGGCGCTGCACACAAAGGCAGCAACACCTTCTCCTCCAGCCCAAAGCAGGGACAAGGGCTGAGCCGTGCCAGGGAGCCCCCAGGGCCAGGTGAGCTTCTGCCTGCAGGACTTTGCCTAAAACCAGCTCTCGAGCACGTGTCACTATTATTTCAGCACAACACACATCTCTGCCGAGCGCACGAGAAATTCCATTTTTCATCTCTATGCCAGCTCTTCAAGCCGCTCTTCCAATTCACAAACCACAAATAATTCCTTCCCCACACGTGCCCAGGAAGGGTTTGTCTCAGAAGCCTTTACAAACCCCACATTTATTGCTTTCAGCACCGAATGCGGCCGTACCACGGAAACAGAATTCACATTTTTCAGACATGCAAACTCCTTTCCTCTCTGTGATGTGCAGCAACATGTCAGAGAACTCTGCCAGGAGCAGAACAAGACCTTATAAAAAGAAAAAAAAAAAAAAGCAGTAAAAATGGAATTACCCACGTCAGGCCCTGCAGGCAACGAGCAACCTTTGGAATAAAGGGTTTGGAATAAGAGAGACTGAACGTTAACCACGGCTCGGGAGAGGTTTTAAGGGCTTGGAGAAGCCCCACTACCAGCAAGTGCTGAAAAGCTTCATTTTGGCTGTGTTTGCAGAGAGCACATTGCTGCAACCACAACAATTCAGATCCCAAGACCTTTTCCATTATAACTCATTACACGGGCTCCTTTGAGAAGGAAAAAGCCTGGCAGAAATGACCACATTTTTAACTCAAAATGGGAATAGGGCTAACAGGGATCAGCATTCCTGCTTTGGGAGGAAAAATAAGAGTTGGAGTAAATTGACGTGTGTCTGAACCCCATTCCCAGCACGCGCTGGATTTTCCCTTCACATTTGTGAGCCTGCCTGGAGGTCCCCCAGTCCCCCCCGGGATGTCGCTCAGCAGCCTCCAACCCTCCAAAAACCAGGGAATGCAGAATTAAGATGCCTGTCCCAGGATGGCACTGAGGCAATCATGGAATCATGGAATGCTTTGGGTTGGAAGGGACCTCAAAGCCCCCCCAGTGCCACCCCCTGCCCTGGGCAGGGACACCTCCCACCACACCAGGTGGCTCCAAGCCCCCTCCAACCTGCCCTTGAACCCCTCCAGGGATGGGGCAGCCACAGCTTCTCGGGGCAACCTGGGCCAGGCTCTCACCACCCTCAGAGAAGCAGCAGCAGGAAAGGGTCTGGGGAATTGGGGTGGATTAGGGGCTGAATGCAGATCGACAAAATTCCCACAAAAAGGAGATGATAGCCTGACGGGGGCTGTAGTAACCCATCTCAAACAACGATTTGATAGTGGTGGCTTCCACCTCGTGGTGGCTTCTTGGCTTTTGGGCAGCACGTGCAGAAGCAGCTGGGGACACATTGATGAGCTTCATGGGACTCGATGAGATTTAAGGACCCTTCCAACCCAAACCGTTCTGCCAGTCTATGGTTATTCATGCACCTTATTTTATTTTCTGTGGCTCAAAGCTGTCTGTATTAGTTTCACCTGATTGATCCACAGGACCCTGACTGAGTGGCTTGTCCTCCAGTACCTCCCTTGCGATATGTCAGCGTGACATTTTCCTGTGCCTGTTCCCTGTTTCATCGTGTGAGCTGCCACGACACAAACCCAGTAACGCTGAACTGGGAACAGACCCCATGGGATCCCACCTCACACGTGCTCCCTTTTTGGTAGGAAAATATTGATATTTTCTTCCTCCCACTGCCGTTTTTTCAGCTGGTGTTGCGCCCACACAGCGGCAGTTCCAACCAGGCCGCATTTACCTGGGTTATTTGCAAAAATACCACATGGGATATAGTGTCAAAGCTTTATGAGTCAATCCGTGCTAAATTAGTGCTTCCCCCTCCTTCACGAGGCCGCCCACCCAGGCAGAACCAACCCATTTCCAGTCTTTGACACCATTTGCTCTTGACATCGATAAGGCAGCTATTTATACCCCCTGCCCCTCTACGTGGGCACAGCCCCACTGCTCTGTAACGCGCTCAGGAACCTTACTTCGACTTCCAGAGACCTATTTCAGCAAAAATACTCAAGACAAAGAGATACTTTTACCCCTTTTTCTAGAAAGAAAGTCCATTTTGGCATTATGTGGGTGTACACAAGGTATGATGGTACACAGGGCAGTCCACCCAGGCTCCTGCTGCCCAACTCCCTTCCCCAAAACCTCCTTGTGGCTGAAACTGCAGCTAAAATGGATCTAAGGATCTCTAGAGGTCACACAGGTCTGAGCAGCAGAATATCAGAAAGCCAATTTACTCCACCTGGATCAAAGAAAAATAGTAGAGTGGACAATAATGGTGGTTTCAGTCATTTGGGGTGGGATTGGTGTCTGGATGGCCAGGAGGAAACTTCCGAGAGATGAATGTGACCACGGGAATGAAGGAGAAAAAAGGCACACTGGAAATGGTCAGAAGATAAATGAAGGCAGCCAAGCAAGTAAACACCACTCGGGGTTACAGAACTTAAAAAAACCGAAGGACAGCATGGATATGAGACGTGTCAATGCAGAGCTGAGGGCAGAGGAGTCTCTGGAGCTCTGGTGAAGAAGCTGGAACTCCCTGGTCGGGCAAACATGGGGAGGGATGGGGTTGGGGGGCAATTGGTGGGACCAGAGACAGCAGAGCTCAACAGGGACAAACCAAACCAAAGGCAGAGGGAGGGACGAAGAAGAGATAATCAGTGACGTTAGGAGATGATGACTGAAAATAAATCCAAGTTCGAGTTAGTGGAAATAAAACCTCTCAGACAGGAAAAAGGAAGGGGGCTGAATATTGTCCAGGCAGTGACATCACATCCCTTTCCGCTTCAGTTCTGAAGTTGCAAATAATTCTCTTTTTAGGCTGTAAGAATGTGTTTCATCTGGCCAAACGCACTGCCTGTAGCCTCCAGGCTCCTGAGAAACCAGAAAAAAGGAATGCAGTATTTTGTTGTGTTACAGGGTAGGTTGCTGAAAAGGACTTCTACTTGACAGACCCTTCTCACCCCAAGGGAGAAACTTGTGCCTCCCCAGACGCAGGTTATGGAGGTTTCTCGACTGAAACACAACTAAATTCTAACGTGGATCTGCAATGCGAAAGATGCTGCTCAACCTACAGACTGACCACGAGAAAACAAATTATTTAAAGTATTTAAAGAGGGAAACACACATCATTAACCCAATGGAGGACAGGTTCTCTTTGGGAACAGAATTACTGACAGGAGAAAAGCACACATCGACCACAACAGCAGGAAAAAAAATCTACTCCTCCAGCAATTTAGAATAAATTTGCTAATGCAAGTAACATCTAATGGGCTTGGCCTCGTCTTGCAGAAGAGACATAATCATCCCCATTGATTTAGAAAGGCTCCTTGGCTGCAAAGATCAGAGAAATGCTGTGTTTTGTTGTCTCACAGGTAACAAATCTAGGCAAGGCTGCATTAACATCTCCCCTTCGTAAATGTCTCGATAAACGTAGGGAATGTCTGTCCCCCCCATCCCATAATACACTATGGAATGTAAATGTGCATTTGAATCAAGCAGCTTTTTTCGTTTGGAAACTTACATTTTGCAAGATGAAAAATATCAAAATGGTGATGTTACATTCCTAAATGTGGAAAAGCTCCACAGCTGAGCTCCCCCAACTACCAGAAAAACCTCCCCTGACCCCATTCTGTCCACAGCACGTCAGAGCCCACAGAAAATCCCTGCCTCCTGCAAAATATAGTGATGGAAATGGTGGGATCTGGAGAGCTCATTGCCCCTCTGGGTATTTTCCGAGTGAAAGCAGAGGACGAGGAGGCTGGAAACACCAGAGGTTCCTCTGAGGGACGTGCCGGGACTGAGGAGGAGCGTTGATGGGGGCTCCTTTGGGCGGTTTGTTTTTCACTTTTTAGTTCACAAAAAAAGCGAGCTCAGACATTACAACCCTGTTCTTTCAGCTCAGTCTTATTCCCAACAAACCAGTTGTCAAAGAGGGGAGTATTTTCATGTTTTTAACAGCAGGGAATCACAAAAAGAGGTTTCCATCCTGCCCTGATGCTGAATGGTGGCGTTCACTGTGTCCTGGAGGGCGAGAAGCTCCACGGAGCAGCTGTGCCCGTCCCGTCCTCTGGCACCTCTTGTGCAACAAATGGATGCAACCACCATGGGAACCACAGGATGATTGAAACAGAATGGTTTGGGTGGGAAGGGACCTTAAAGCCCCCCCAGTTCCATCCAGGGACACCTCCCACCACACCAGGTGGCTCCAAGCCCCCTCCAACCTGCCCTTGAACCCCTCCAGGGATGGGGCAGCCACAGCTTCTCGGGGCAACCTGGGCCAGGCTCTCACCACCCTCCCACCAAACAAGTTCTTCCCCACAGCTCAGCTCCATCTCCCCTCTCTCAGTGTCCAACCCTCCTAGGGCTACATGCCCTTCTAAGACGACCTCCGATGTTCTGGGTTAGCTCCGTCTGCCCAGACAGCATTAGAATCACAGAATTGTCTGCGTTGGAAGGGACCTTTAAGATCATCTAGTCCAACCATCAACCTCACTCTGACAAAAACCATCACTAACCCATGTCACTAAGCACTATGTCAACCCGTCTTTTAAATACCTCCAGGGATGGTGCCTCAACCCCTTCCCTGGGCAGCCCATTCCAATGCTCAATAAACCTTTCCATGCAAAAATTTTTCCCAATATCTACATCTACAGGAAACCTGGGAACAGCCACTTCCTGATCATATGTGGATACAATTAAATAAATTAAAAAGCGGTTATCTTTTTCCAACAAAACCACGTAGAGGTATCCCTTTACTATTCCTTCCAAGCAAAGAAAACAAAAGCCCCTTACTCTTGGACAAATCCACCGGTGGAAGATGGAATATGGTAGCATGAAGGAAGTTTAATGAAGGTCTAAACAATTGTAAAATGCTCTTCAGAATGGAAAGGATTTAGGCAGGACACCGCCTTTTCTCATATTATAACATCACTCTCACAGAAGTGACATATTCCCACAAATGCTGCTGTGCTTTGCTGGTGCCCTTTCAATATTTTTCAGCCCTGAGGATGCCCAAAGGTGGGGGGAGCCCTCTCCTTCTTCTGAACAGGGAGAATTGTGGCCGCAGACAGGAAAACACATCATTTCCCACATTTTCACCCACCACTCATTCCAGGTATATAGAATATGAAATGCAGTAAATCTTAGGAACAAATTCAGCTTCCAAAAATTTAACAAATTCAGCTTTTCTGCTGGGAAGTGGCCAGTTTGAGCAGCCTGGGCAGGGTAAGGTGTGGATGTGAGCACCCCCAGCTCACCAAGGACCCCCCCAGACCCGGCCGTCCCCGTCTCTCGCTGCCAAAACGCGCCAGAGCCTCCGGCCGGGGAAAGGGGGCCCTTAATTCCAGCCAGGGATGGTCTTTTTCACCACGGGCTGCCCTACAGCAACAGTAACTGCAATAAATCTCGGGGAAAACACTGTCATCAGGCGTATGTGAACTGACAAAATAGAAATATAGGACACTTTCAAAGGGGGAACCCCCCGTTTCTCCTCCTTCCTTCACCCTGTTATTAACTCCCAACACCTGTATGCTTTCCAGGTTTAAAGAATGGGGGAGACAAAGGGAACCCAGACACATGGTTCTGTGCCTCGACAAAGTCGATGATGGATGAACCATCAACCTTCAGCCTATTCAGCACTAAAAGTCTCAAAATACTCACAAATATTACACCATATGGGGTGGGCAGGTGCTGCGACAGACACAGACCCTCTTTCAAGCTGAGGCAAGAGCCAGGCATTTCAGCTTTCGTGCTCGACACTAAATCTACAGAGCTAGTCGTGTGATTTTTGAGTAATTTTAATAATTTAGTAATGTGATTTCCCACTGTAACCAGCCTGTTTGAGTGGGTGCAGTCACGTAACCCGAAAGCAGAGGTCATGCAGAAGTCAGCAGACCTTGAAATGCCCGTTCCTATTTCCAAATTTCCAAATTCAACTCACACCCAGATGCCTCCAGCGTTCCTGGGCAGCTCAGACCTCTGGCAGCCCGGCTGTGTTTGGTGGAGACCCAGCGCCAACGCCACAGACTCGTTGGGTGAAAGGCCTCCAGCAGAAAGGTCTCGTCAGGCAAAGGGCTTTGTGAGCAGAACAGCCCGAGGGACAACACAACCTGGAAGTGAGGGGCTATGGAAAAGGAAAAACAAATCTCTCTTCAGCTATTCCTTCAGCTGCACTCACGGAATAACACCTACTCCAATCAAAGAAAATCACTCTTCAGTGAGAACAGAGCCAAGAGCTGCACCCAGCTCCGTGTGTTCCCAGTGCTGTGCTCAGAACACCCGGGTGAGACACAGCAGGATGTCCCCGGGGAGACAAAACCCACACTCTGTATTTTTTCTCCCCTCTCACGGAACCCAACGAGCGGCACCGCGAGGCGCACGTACCTCTTTGTCGGGGTGGGTGCTCCAGAGGACATGTGGGTCACCATGGTGTCGTTCATGTTAGTCAGAGGCCGGGGAGGACTGAAACAGAAATATTTATTCCAGTTAGTGATTTAAGCGGCATCGCGAGGCGCACGTACCTCTTTGTCGGGGTGGGTGCTCCAGAGGACATGTGGGTCACCATGGTGTCGTTCATGTTAGTCAGAGGCCGGGGAGGACTGAAACAGAAATATTTATTCCAGTTAGTGATTTAAAAAATAAAAACCACAAAAAGGAACCCAACCCCTGCCCGGGGAAGGGGCCATCGCTGCGCTCTGTCACTGCACCAGGGCCAGCAGCAGAACCTGCTTGGCCCAAAGATGCTCGAAGAGCTTGGTCTGCTCCAGCCACATTGCTTTTCACAATCCACGTGTTACACTAAAATGAAGATAAAATCAGTATTTGTCATGACTTCTCTGACCTTTGGCATGGTCCAGCAGTTCCAGGGGATGAAGGAACCACTCAGCATTTGAAATGTTTAAGGAAATTAAGCAAAGATCTATCATAACAAGCCATTTATACAACAGCCACACACCCCATCTGTTTAGGTTTTGTTTCAATAAGTTAGAGTTAGTTGGAAAAAAGCTGGTGGAGCCCCGTGTTCCTCAGTGCCCAACAGAGCACAGCCGAGGGCTGGCGCTCCACCTAACGACTTCAAGGAACAAATCCTACACGAGGACACATTTTCCTTCACCCATAGGAGCTCACCTGAGGGGGGGCTGCTGTTCCGAGTGAAGGGTAAGTCTTTATTTCATGATAATATTGTTTTTATAGGACTCCTCTAATCAGAAAGTGGATGTAATTCACCATTTGTGATCTGGTTTTAGCATCATTATGAGACGCTTCCCCAAGTTCACCCCAGTTCTGTAAATATCAGTGTCCTCCGTTTCCCAGCTACACCACACTTTGCTCTCCCAGGGTAACTCACCCCTCCTGGACCGACGCTGGCTCGGGGAATGTCACCGGGGTTTGGGTGGAAGCAGAGACCAGCTCCCTCCCACGCTCTCGTGAGCCAACAACGGCATCCACATCCCACACCACGGCGCTGGGGACGCGATGCTGGTTTATCACACCAACCACATCACACCAACCATATCACACCAACCATACCATTTGGCTCAGGCCAAATTCCATTAATCCTGGACTATCACCTGCTGCCATCACAACCTCCATCTCCCACAGCACCCTCAATACTGTGGGTATGAGCACACTGTGGCACACGACACCCAGGAGCGTGTGCATGTGAAACCATTATTTTTCCCAAGAATATCACCCAAAAAACCTCAGCCCACAGACATGGACAGAGCCCCTTCTCCTGCCCTTGTCTCTCTCCCTTATTTTGCCACCTCAGTGCTATCACTGATGGGAACACACATCGCTCTTCTGCCAGCGTCAGCAGCCCAAGCCATGCCAGGAGTTGTCCTACGCTCATTTTCCATGGGATCCTCGGCAGCTACTTGCTAAAACTCTTGGCTGAGGAACTTCAGGACCAGCACTCCTTCCTCCCACCTGCTTCACACACCAAACACCACAGACAACCCACTAATTATCATTATTCTGACTTAATGATGGTCCTACTGCTGCAGAAGGACCAAGAAAAGACTCGGCGATGTGACCAACAGCGTTTCAGCAGCAATTTCTGGTTGCTGGCAGGCAGGGATGGCTCCTGAAGGGGAGACACTCATTACAGCCACAGTTAATTAGGGTTTGTGCAGGAGGACCAGCAGTTCTACACCAGGACACCTAGAAAGGACTGTCTCACAGAAGAACCCCACCGTGACACCAACCTGGAGGAGACAATGGTGATTCAAGAAGAGAGAGTGTTTTACAGAGATGTACGAAGTGATTAACTTGTCCCTTCATTATCTGGATGCAAATAAGGATGAGGCAGCATGACTTCTACAGTACATCACTTCTACAGCAGGTTATTACCACCAGGAGCTGGGTGCTGCTACCTCATGGCACATCACTCTGGTGACTGCCCCTCAGCTGATGCTGGGAGAGCACAGATTTACGAGAAACTGTAACTTTTTTACAGAGATAACTTGTACGCTTAACAAACCTGATAATGTGCTTTTGGTACCCAGACTCGCTGGTTTGTTTGCCAGAACACATGGCATTCAGGAAGGCTGTTGCTCCCTCCTCACGCATGGACGGGTGGGTTCATCACCACCAGTAAAGGTGTTTATGACGCTTGATGCTGGGCTGATACATCACTTATTTCACTGGGACAACACGGACATTATTCACACCGATGATCAGTGGGCTGCCTGGGCTTCCTGTTATTCCACCAGCTCTTGTTTACCTTCAAGACGATGAGATACAGGATCTATTGCTACTGTTTGGTTTTTAAGCCTCCTTTCCAGCCAATTTTACTCTATAATAATCCAAAAGCCAGAGGAGGACACGCTCTTCCAGGCAAGCGTATGAAGGAGACTGGCTCTTTGCTTTGTTAGTTGACCAAAGACCTTGCCAAGCAGCAGCAGAGGACACAGACCCAAACACCTGAAACCTCTGGTGAAAGCCTTTGGCCTTTGCCTGAGCATCTCACCATTGATATGGAACTTCTCCTGTTCAAAACAACTTCACAACTCTGCCCGCCCTGGCAAAGCAGCAAGAGGGGAGGCTGAAAAGCAGGGAGGGTTCAGCGAGGAACTGCAGGCAGAAGGACAAGCTGGAAAACACGCTTTTCACAGAGGGAATCCTGATTCCAAACCGCCCGTTCAGCAGACAATTATGTGGTGACTTGATGGCAACCTACATGCAAATCTGATTTCTCTCTAATGAGACCACAGGGCAGCACAGGAGGCACAGCTAAACCAGAGAGCAGACAGACAGGGCCATGGCCAACGGGCACCAAAGCACAGAACGACCCCCGGGGCCGGGGCTAGTTCTTTGGAGAGGAAATTTCAACGCTTTTTATCAAGCGCCTGATTTATTTGTTGGTATTTTCTATTTTGCACAGGAAGTCGTTCAAAGAAATCTTCTGGTCTCTGTTGTATTTGTGGTTGAGGTTTAAATGTCTGTGATGATTCACTTGGACTCTGTGAACTCTGGATTAGGGAATAATTGCAGCAGCGCCTGTGTTTTGAGCTCTTTTGCCCAAAAAGCCTGAGGGAAAAACCTCACAGTAGGAAACGTTTTGGAAACTTTTGTTTGCCGTAAACACAGGCGATTTCCTGCAATGACTGAAGACAGATCTACAACATGAGAAAATCCATCCAACACTGATGTAGGAATCACCAGCCACATCCAAGAGGCAACATACGCCAACGGAGGGTCAGACTCTGGTGGCAGCTGAGGCCCATCTTCTCAGAGCCACCCACCGACCAGGAGGTGCCACGGGTCCCTTCCAAAGGGGGAACCAACACAACACACCGTTGGCTGTTGTCCTGCTACGTTGGGCCCTCTCTTCATGCAATAAACTGCACGATGAAACCTCAGAAAGAGTGAATTTCCAGAGTCAGGTCTGAGCAAGGCCGTGGGAAGCTGCCTCAAACCTACCTCAGGAAACTACCAAGAACCTCCAGTAAAAAGTGGGAAATCGTTACGCGTTATTTCTACTGCTATATGAAAGATAAAGTCTGTTTAAAGTCAAAGTGCACTTTCGGTAAAGAAGAGAGATCTAAGTTTCTGGTACTTACTCAGTCTCTCTTCTGAGCAGGGAACAACAAAAAACCCCAACAAATGGGAGTAACTTGCATTTATGGGACACTCAAACCAATTAATTGTGCAGATGAAACAAACTTGAGAGCGGGAACGCGCTCGTAGCTCTCCCCGAATGGCAGAGAACAGGATGGAAAACTCCCCATAACACTTCTCCAGCTCCTTAAGACAGCTGGGTTATAGGACTGGTTAAATATTTCTAAAGAATTATTGCATTGTAATTAAAATAATGATAAGCCTACAGTTTCAGGAGAGCACCAACACTTCCTCGGCACAGACTTCTGTAAAATTCCAAGGCCAGGGTGACTGTCAGCAGCTCCTCCTCGTGCCAGACTTTCTGACAGCGCATTTATAAGGAAAAATTAGGAATTGTTTAAAAATAGCCACTAGCACTTCTCCAATGAGAGCACCAAGGGCAAATACATCCGTCGATGTGCTGAGCCAACACGCCTTTTCCTATAAAAATGGGACATAACTATCCCAGTATTACACCAGATCTCACCAACCCATTCCGGTGCAAACCATCTGAGCAACTTTCACGACAATTTGCACGTCTATATCACAGATTAATTACTCCTTCATTCTCGCTGCTATTTTATACGGTAGAAAAGAGCCAATTCCTGTTCTTTATTATTCCAGAGTGGGTTTTTATTTGTGGACTAGGAATGAGAAATGAGGTCTCTGCTTCCCTTTAAAAAACATTAAGCCGAGTTTTCTCTGTGCCTTTACGGAGCTTTTCCACCTCTTTTTTAACTGTGACTAATTTTCCTAACGCCACTTAGGAGTGAAGCAGCCCGAAGCTCCCTCGATGCAAAATACAGCAGAAAAAAAATAATTAACAACAACATAATGGATAATCCAACAGCAACTGAGGTTAAAAATGCATAACACCAAAATAGCAGCCACGATATTTGCCAAAGAGAAGCTTTTTGAAGGTGTTTGGCCGGGATAACACATCCCTCCCCGCTCCCACTGCTCAGCCCTGCTCCGCTTGAGGCCGGGGCTCAGAGCTTTCACCTTAATGCTCCCTCCTCCAAAAATCTGCAAACTGAGGCTATTTCAGCAGCAGGAAGGACAAACAGACTATTTTCGTTTTTACAGGGTTTGCAGTAATTGAAAATTAAAAAAACCCAACAGTTTAAGCTGCGTGCTGGTGTTAGGATGGGCAGAGACAAACCAGAGGTGCCAAGGAGTTAAAAACCAACCACAGACCCAAGGATACACACCGATATGGGAGATTTTACAGAAATATGAGCACGGAGGAAAATAAATCCCTGAATGCTACAACAACACCTGGTGAAAATACCTACAATGTACTGTTTCTGAGCAGTTTTAAAATGAAGTCTGCACTGGATTTTTTTTTTTATGTAATAGCTGATCTGTGTGCAGCGCTGAGGAGCCTTCCCCAGCAGAGACACCGACACACCCCCCCACTTCCTTATCACCCCCACTTATCTCCAGTCATTTGCCATGTGCACATCACCTCTCCTGACAAACCCCCTCCGTAAACCCT